ATCTGTAGGCATATACATATACACATTTGTGTGTACTGCATGTATATCCATGTACTTAACAAAGCACAAAGGGGGCGGAGTTACAGAGCCTTCCTAGCTATAGCCAAACAACTTTCAGGATTGGTTTACTGTGTCAAAAGGCTTAGGACCATAGAGACTTCTCATTGTCTCCCTAAATCTGCCCTCCCCTTCTCCATAATTGGGCAGATGGCCATCCAGCTAGAGATGTTTTCCAGCCTCCCTCAAAAATAAATGTGGCCATGTGACCGAGTTGTCACCAAAGGATTGAGGCACCTTCCATGACACTTGCTGAAAAGGAAGTTGTTTGTCCCTGTGACTATTATTTCCCTCTTCCTGGAGCTCGAATACGGATATAGTAACAGTCCAGCTTAAACCTGTAAACAACATCCTGGGACAACTTAGTCAATTGGCGTAATGCCCTTCATAATGTTCTACATGCTAGTTTGGTGAGTAGCATCTGGGGTCTTACAAGCTTGCATGCAGCCATCTAAGATACAACTACTGGTCTCTACTCATATGGAGCAAAAGAGAATGAAGGAAACCAAAGATGATGAAGAAATAGGACTAATCGCCCACATGAACTAATCACCTCTTCTAACCTGAGCCCAGAAGAACTAGATGGTGCCCAGCTACCACTACCAACTATTCTGACAAAGGACACTAAGAAGGTCCTGGATAGAATAGGAGAAAAATGTAGAAGAAAATCCAGATTTCTAAAAAAAGGCCAGACCTATTGGACCAATAGAGACCAGAGGAACTAGAGAAACCCCTGAGAGATTACTGCCCTAATTAAATACTCTTTGCACTTTAACCGAAGCTATTTCTGGAGGTCACCTTTCAGCCAAATAATAGATTCACTTATAAAATAAACATATCACCCATGAGTAATATGCTCCCTTTTACAATCAACTATATGAGACCAAATGATCAATGTTTACCTGAAAGGAAAGATGAAAAGGCAAGGAAGGGAAAGGAAGCTAGATCAATGGAAACAGAGCAAACAGGATGGAAATATGTGAATGCTGACAATCATGAAAATTGTAACCAATGGCGTGGAACAATTCGTATAAAAATTGTTAAATGGAAACCTAATTTGTTGTGTAAAGTTTCACCTAAAACACAGTAGTATCTTAAAAAGAAAAATAAAACTTGGAACCATAGATGTTCTGAGTGCTTCGTTTTATTAAGAAACTAGCTCCTTATCCTTGAGGAGGGCCTGTTATCTGTTCCTATTTCTATAGATGCAGTGCTTTTCTCACTGTGATTTGGGAAATCACTATTAGCAGGAGCTTTCCTCCAGCCTTACAGCTGAATAAACAAAAGAGCTATACCTGCTAACAAGAGTGTGGCCTTCTGTCCACAGCAGGAGACAAAGGAAGAAACAAACTGGTCCTAGTTTCAGGAAACTTATGGTCCAAGTAGGGATGCCACCAAAACTCCCTTAATGGGATTTTCACAGCAGATAACATTCTGGGTATAAGTAACCTTGTCTGGAGTAAGTGGGTAGTGAGGACAGAGACCACTTGTATTGATAAGAAATATGGACAAAATCATCCTCGAACAGCTCATTGTTTATTCAACTACACATCTGAGGAAAGGTCTGTCAAAGGAAAGCGTAAAATGCACATGTGAGACACTTTTATATCCACAGAAAAAATATGCATTTACACAGACTTCAATCAATTCCTGGACCACTCTTCAGGGATCATGAGCCAGGTCTTTTAATATAATGAAATCAAGGTCAGGGAATAACTTCAGTTAGAACAGTTTCGTTTACAGGATCTTATAGTTTCAGGTCAGTACTTTTCCATGGCATTTATTTCCTTGGCTCTACCAAAAAAAAAAAAAAAAAATCTTAGATGTAGGTAGAGGCAAGAACCCCTGCCTGAAATGAGGATGTGGGCCTTTATAGGAAACTAATAGGAAAGGACCTTGCAGACTGAGCCAAGGAGTTTGGGCATTTGACATAGTAGGAGCCTCCCCGTCCTAGCTTCCTGCTGCCAGCCTTCTCTTGCACCACGGTTTCCTGGGCCGTCCACTGAGTAGGCAGGTCCACCAGAAACTGCCGCTGTGCAGTCTGGTTGGGTGTGGGGTGTGGGATGGGTTGGAAAGTTCTTTCTTAGAACATCTTGCAAGGGTTAGGGAATGTTCTGTTCTGTTCAGCAGATATTTATTGAGCAGCAGTCTTTGCACCATCCAATCTGCACCTAAAAACCACATTGTGTGTGGTTGGTAGAACCTATCTTAGCAGCAATAATCAGTTTTGCAGTCGTGGACTCATTGAGGCAGGCAGCCAGCACAAAGCCCAGACCCAGTACTCGCCAGCTATGATCATTTAGTATGTCTGAGATCCAGCTTTCTTTCTGTAAGAGACCAGTTGCTGTGAGTCAGCTCCGACTCACGGCGACCCCATGTGTGTCAGAGTAGAACTGTGCTTCATAACGTTTTCAGTGGCTGGTTTTTCAGATTGCCAGATCTTTCTTCTGAGATACCTCTGAGTGGACTTGAACCTCCAACCTTCTGGTTAGCAGCCAAGAGCGTTAACCATTTGCACCCCCAGGGACTCCAACCCCCATATGGTGGCTGAAGAAACTCACCTGAAGGAATTAAAATGCCCAAAGAGGTGGACGAGAGGTAGAGCTAAAATATGAACCAAGAGGCTCTGCTTCTCGAGCCTATACTCTCAAGCACTACGCTTCTCTACAAGAGATAGGCTTGCTTAGTTACGACAGCTCTCAAGGGACAATTGGATCAAGAGAAGTAATCAGGAAAAGAAATGAGTCTGGAGGTGAAGGCAGAGGGTAAAAATGCAAAGCAAAGAGTCATAGCACTTTGGGTTGGTGGGGGGGGTGGGTAAGACACAAAACAGAAGGCAGGATAAAAGCCCTGGCTTTGGCTTGCTGTCAAGTTATTATGCTGAGGACAAGAGGCCAGGGCTGTCTTTTGCCCAGAGCTTACTTTTGCCTACCTGTTCTACTGTGGAATGTTCCCAGCATTCAACTGTCCCAGGACTCTGAGGAGCCCTCAGGCCCAGCTTAGTAGATGTGTGGTCCTCCATTCCTTGGAAACCTCTGTGTTAAAACAGATGTACAATGATGTGTCCTGTAAACCCTTATGTGAAGTTCTGCACCTGGGATGGAAATATAAGCTGCTCCTCTGTGCCAAAGGGACCTAGGTCCTTCAGGCAAGAATGGGATGTTTCATTCTTACTGACAGAATTTCAAGCAGCAAAGTTTCAGGTAGTCTATGATTTTTCAGGAAGTTTCTTAGTGACTAAGGATGCAGTAGTCACTCAAAGAAGAGAGTCGTTATGACTATATAAAGCTGCAGAATATCTCTGGGAGCAATATTGTTTCCTGTTAAATTTGCAGCTAACTTTATCTGTGTTTGTTATCCCAACTTGATAAATGGTGGGACAGATTTTTACTTTCTCTGTCCCAGCTAATTTTTAATCTTCCATTGGTTGCTTTCGAGCAGATATTAAGGAACACTTACTAACACATGAAACTCTCTTAGTGAATGCATTCACTGCATTCCTGAGATCCCCAACACATACACACACTCACACACTTAGGACTGGGTGGAGTGGAATGGTTATAGTGACTATTCTGATAAACAACCCACCCACCCCTTTCACTCCCTCTCTCATCAGTCCAGCTTAGGAAATGTCTGACATAACCAGCAGACCAAGGGCATAGACGTACTTTGCTCCTTCTTCAACAGAAAAACTTTTCAATTCTGCTGTAAGTCAGAATTGACTGGATGAAACAGGTTTATTGTCCCCCACTGCCACCTTTTATTTATTTTTATTGTGATTTGGATAAAAGTTTACAGAGCAAATGGCTTTTCCATTCAACAATTCATATACATTTTGAGACATTCACTGCAATCCCCACACTATAACAGCATTCACCTCACTTCCTCTCTGTGTTTACCATTTCCCTTCACCACTCTTTCCTATCCCTTCCTGCCTTCTGAGATTCTCCCTGGGAAAATGATGCTGTTTTGATATCGTATGGCTGATTGTTCTAAGAAGCACATACCTCCCTGGTGTCAATGTTCACATTACAGGCCTATCTATCATTTGGTGAAAACTGAGCCACAGGGGTGAGTTCAGCTCCAAGCCTGAAAGATATCTAAGGGCCACAGTACCCAGGGTCCCACCAATCTCAGACCAGTAAGCCTGGTCTTTTTTTTAAAGTGAGTTTGTGTTTGTTCCACATTTTCCTCCAACTCTGTCCTGGACCTCGTATTGTGATCTCTTTCAGAGCAGTCAGCAGTGGTAGCTGGCACCATCTACTTCTTCTGGGCTTAAGGTCTTAGAATCTAGAACTCATATGGTCCATTAGTCCTTTGGAGTATTTCCTTGTGTCTTTGATTTTCTTCACTCTTCTTTGCTCTGGACAGGGAGAGACCAGCTGTTGCACTTTACATGGCTGCTCCCAGGATTTTAAGACCCCAGCCACTACTCTCCAAAGCAGGATGTAGAACACTGTCTTTGTGGACTATGTTATAACAGGTTTTTGATTGTTCCCTGGGTAATCTTCTGGGCAGCTGGCCAGACCTTTGCCCACTCCCAACAGTTAACTGGGCTCCGTTTCAGCAAAGGGCCTCAAAATGATCAGTTTAGGTGGCCTCAGCACTCTAGCTTCACATCTGTCTTCTTAGTCCCTCCGTGTAAGGGCAGTGCCTTCTTCCTAAGCCTGCATCCCGTCGTACCCTGAGTCTATTCTTTTCCCATCCAACTAAATAAAATTTTAATAATCAATTTTAAATAAATATTTTAATAGGCTTGGCTGGAAGTCCAAAAGACGCCAGGCTGTAGCAAGGAGTCTACAAATAATCGTGCAATAAGTAAATGACTCTCACCCTACGATGTAAAACGTCGTGACAAAATAAAACTACCAATCACACCGGGCTGAGAGCAAAGACACGGGTCCCAGGCCGTCCCCCCACCCCTTTTGGACATTGACCCACAGGGTCTCAGCTGGTGCCTCAGAGCCCGCTCAGGCGGCAGAGCGTCCACAAGGTGCTCACCCAGGATTCCCGATCCTATTGGTCACCGGCAAAAAAGGTACCATGGCTCTCAACCAATCAGCGCGCGCTGCCCTCCGCCTTGAAACCGCAGTGGTCAGCCGAGACTATTGTGCTCACCTGCGAGACTATTGTGCTCACCCGGCGAGCGGAGCACAGGCGAGGGGTTCTCCTGGTTTCCGGGAGCAGCCACAGCGATAGACACACTGCCTCCCTCTTCCGCGCGGTGCCTTTCTCCTCCGGGAACCGACCTCTTCCTCCCAGTGGCAGGTTGGCGGCTGGACGTCTATGACAGCTCTGTGAAAATCTGGCATATGTTGGCAAAAGTTGAGTCCACGAGAGGAAGGCACTACCTGCAAAGCATTTTATAATCAGTAACATAACAACAACAACAAAAAATGAGTATTCTTGCCAGCCAGTACCGCAGAAGAGACTGGAGTTGCAGCCCATTCCCTGGCAATGTCCGGGTGGAAGACCAGACGGGGGTGGGGCGACCAGGGGGTTGGAAAGGCCCTAGGGACGAGTTCAAGTCCTGGGGTTCACGTCTTGGCTGCAGGGGACTGCGCCTGTCCTTCGCCACCCCCAATCAACCTTGCTCCCTTGCCTGCTTTCCTCCCAGCTCTCAGCTTGGGGAGAGGTGCGCACGGGATGATCTTCCTGCGGATTGGAGCTCAGAGGCTCGCCCTCTCTGCCGAAGCGCTAACCGCCACTAGATTGTTCATCGACAAGCCTCTCAGCTTTGGTCCCCCGCGCCTAGCAGTGGCCCTGCCACGTCGTAGGCGCTCAACAGATGGCTGGTGAATGTCTGCATACCCGAAGCTCCCTTTCCTACTCTCCTGGGGCTTCAGCTCCCGCCCATTTCCAGGGGATCACCCAGGCAGATCATTTGGACACAGGCTCATCCAAAAAGCTGAGGGATACAGTGAGGGAGGTTATTGCGGAAGTTCCTTGGTGATTTTTTTAAGGTAAAAGAAACGTGCAATGTGGGTGCGTTTCAGGTGGTTCATGAACTCCCTGAGATCATGTACTTTTTTACTCAGCAGAGCTTTCCTGATTGTCAAGAGATCTCTGACTAGGAGCCTGCCTTAGACTAAGCGTCAGTTAGGAAAACGTGCAGTAAAGCGTCGTGGACAAAATATTAACATGGCTCTGAAATCTCAGTAATAAGGTGATTTAAAAAAAAAATAAAATCATCCAGACGGTCCAGAATATTTTAGGCTGTTAGTTTCTCATGAAAAAAACATAATTTCATATGTATGTGTCAGGACCTCTGGTGGCCTAGTGTGTAAGGCATTTGACTGCTAACCAGAAGGCTGGCAGTTCAAACCCACCAGCCACTCCTCTGAAAGAAGACTGGGCAATTTACTTCTGAAGACATACTGCCTGGGAAACCCAAGGAGGGGTCACCATGAGTCAGAAACAACTTGATGGCAGTGAGTTTGGTTTTTACATATATGTGCATGTGCATTTAGAGAGTCAGTCAGTCCCTGGGTAGTGTGAATGGTTAACATGCTCTGCTGCTAAGCAAAAGGTCAGAGGTTTGAGTTCACCCAGAGGCACCTCAGAAGAAATGCCTGACAACCTACTTCTGAAAAGTCAGTCATTGAAAACCCCATGGACTACAGTACTCTGACACACAAGGATATCATGAATTGGAACCAACCTGATGACAATTTATATAAATATTCATTCTTAGAACTCAGACACCTCTAGAAAAATCCTGGACCCTAATGTGAGAAAAACATTGGTTTGAGAGATTCAGGGAGAGTGCAGCACAATTGGTACCATTTGTATTGCTATGAAGGATAATGGATCTCACCAAGTAGGAAGGCAGAGGGAACAGTTCTTGCAAAACCAGAGACTAACAGCACAGCATGCTGGTGTACTTGGGGAAGAGTGAAAGGTACAGGTAAGGATGGAACTAGCATACAACATCCTATTAAGGCTACAATGAAACATAATGCAGTTCGAAATAAACAACATTGGAATGGCATCCAATCAGTAAAATTGTAAAGAAATGCTTTATTTGCCTAAAGTGTTAGTATACCAGTAAAATTAAGTTTAACTGAGGAAGGTAGATGTATATGGGCAAAGTTTCAAAAAAAAAAAAAATCTGAAGGGTATTTCTGGGTTATTTAATTGGGACTTTGAGATTGTAGGGCCTGATTTTTTAAATGGGTCTAAAAGTAAGAAAATTCATGTCTTTTCTTTCCCCTGATAGAACTCCTATCAGTCACAATTAAGATCAGATTCTGGCACTCAAATAAAATGAAAAAGAGGAAAACATAAGGAAGAGGCAAATCTGAGATAACTGGATGAGTGGTAGAAGAAGGAGGGGAATGAGGTTATAGGATGTGTGTGTTTAGTGTATATACAGTGGGGAAATTTTCATTCACCAGAATTACTTTTGGTATGGCACTATAGATAGATACATCTGAAGATTCTTCTGGGGGGGGTATGTGAGATGAGACAGTCTCATACTCAAATACAGTAATAGTCACTAAATTGCCTTTTAAATGTTTGAGTGAGTGGATTGTAAAATGGTCTTTTGTTTTGCAGAGCACAGTGATGGGTTTACGAATGTAACTGAACTGGTGGATGCCTGGATAAAGAGACCTGAGGTGGCTAGTCCCTGTGGTGAAGAGACAAAGATGAAAACCTTTCAGTGGTGGTTTGGTCAACAAGGGACTTCTGAGAATAAAGTGCAAGAGTGTACAATGTGCGCTGCCTTCTCTACCTCTTATTCAGCATCTTCAGTAAAATCTACATTACTCACGGTGTGGTTGTGAGTGGATTTTTTGCAGGAAGCTTAAGGAAGTGCTGTATCAGCGTTGGCAAGAGGTGTGTATGGAAATAAACTATGCAAACATGGGAACCAGAAGTTAAAGGGACAGGTGACTTCCATGCTTCATTAAGTGAGAAAGTTAAGGTTGGGCCAAATTAGAGCTTGAGCAATGGAAAAAGGAATGAGCGGACATTTACTTGTAAGAGGTTAAGTCACAGACCTTTCCCTGCTAAGAGTGTGACTGCTAGAGGCAGAACCTAGAAAGAGCAGAAACAGTATGCAATTAATTGTTCATTTGTACAGCCCTTTTCCCACTGCCACTCCGCAGAAGGAAGACAGGGCAATCATACAAGATCTACTGCCTCGGAAACCCAATGGGGGTCACTATGAGTTGGAATCCACTCGATGGCAATGGATTTGGTTTTTCCAAGCCACAGGTATGAATCTGGGGAACACCTATATTGGGTAAAGAATATACCCATTTTATGGATTATAGCCGTTCCGTTATGTTTCCAAGACATGACTTAAATCCAGTAGTGTTTAGTCATAACTAATCAATAAATGTACATTTCAAATAAGTTTCTAAATAAATCCTCTTATCCACAGCACAGCAGAGCAGTTAACAGCAAGACCAGGATCACAGTCTTGGCTCTGGCACATACCAGCTTTGTGATAATAGGTAAGTTACTGAACACTTCCACCCCATCTCTGCTTTAATTTCCTTACCTTTTAAATGGGGCAAACACAACTCAGTAAATTAACTAAATATCATTCAATTGAATACTTAAAACAGGTGAATTTTTTAGTATATAAATTATGCCTCAATAAAACTTTATAAAAGAGTACCCTCATCATAGAGATGCAATGAAAAAACATAATGCATATCACTGTCTGGCACTGTGCTGGTACACCGTTAACACTCAATAAATTATTAATGATTAGTATTAACGTCATAAAGGGATTACAAAACACTGAAGACATATAAAGTTAGATTTCTTTTTAAAATGAGAAAAACTATTGGTCTAGTTGAAATTTCAGGGATCGTTAAGTTCAATTTTCATTTTACAGATGAGAAAATTAGGGACTAGGCAGATGAAGTGCCTAATTCAAGATGTAGCTCTAAAGCCAGGCCCCAGGCCTGCTTGAATCCATTAGTGAATTCACTACCGCCACTGCCTCAGAAACACGAACACATGAAAAATCAAGGATGTGTTTCCTCCAGGGCTTGGAACCAGTTCATTTGTTTGACCCCTTGCTGAGAATTTGCCTTCACCCCAGATATACTGAATCAACATCCACATTTTAACAAGATGGGAATCTTGCTAATTCTCAGCAGGGGGGTCAGACTAGAATGAACCGGTTCAAAGTCTTGGTTTCCCCAAAGGAGAATTAACATACAGGGAAACAGAAAAATCATGTAGAGATGTGGAAGAGAATTCCAAGGTCAAGAGGCTGTCACATCCTGGCCTATGATCAACCAGGGCCCCTAGCAGTGGGGTCCGGGCCATGAGAACTTAAGTGCTTTGGCAGGCCAGGCCCTCATCACTCAGGTAAATGGGCTCATCCCTGTCGCCAGACACCTGGAGGTGGTGGAGCCGCACAGTCCATTCTGTTACATCCTGACATGGGATCTGCCAGCAGTGGCAGGAGCTGGGCCAAAAGTCAATGCAGCAGAGTTCTGGGGAGCAGTCAGTCTGAGTGGCCCTGAAGTGGGAGCAGCCGCTTAAGAGCTGCTTCTGCCAACCACTGAGAAATCTGGCCTTGCTCACTTAGTTACCCCCTGCCTGGTCTAATCAGCCTCCCTGAATGTTAAGGACTTTCCCTTACAATCCTGTAAATTGCCCGTAAGTTTCCTCCACCATGACACCCTCTTCAAATGAATATGGGAACCTGGCCCAATGTGAAATGTGATGTGATGTGATGTGATGTGATGTGATGTGATGTGATGTGAAATAGCCCAAGATTCCTGCTTCTTTATTAATGCTGCCATCTTCTAAAGGAACTTGATAGCATGGTTGGAAGATTTTGAGGCTAAGAAAAGTTTACTAAATTATCCAATGCTAAAAAGTGAACAGGAGAGTAAGATATATCTTCTAGGCCAATTTTTGAACATTTCAGGGGATAATATTCAGTGAGTCAACTCTGTCATTCTTAGGAGGTGGTGGCATCATATTCCCCCACATTTCCTGAGAATTAACAATCTAGGCCAGATGGCTGGTATAGACCCCTAATGTTACGTAATACACTGGGGAAGGAGAGAAAGAGGGAAAGGGGAATGAAAAGGAGGAGAATTAAGGCCTAAAACAGCTTTTATGATTTAACTCAGTACTTTGAAACTTCTCAATGAATAGTTCATAAAAGTGCCTCATCCTTTTTGACCAAATGTTTAGATCAAAATCAGTGGAAGGACAGAGGAGTTCTGTCTGTTCATTTGTTCTGAGAAAGTGGGGAGCAGACTATCAACAAATTAATGTTCGAAGCTTTTCCACAGAAAGCTTTCCTATTTTGCAGATCATTCCATACAATGAACACTTTGATGTCTGAGAAGGTGAGAGCTTCGACTAAATGTCTTCTGACACTCTTGGCACTCATAAGGCTTCTCTCCAGTGTGAATTCTCTGATGAATGATAAGTTGGGAATGCTGGCTGAATGTTTTCTCACACTCATTACATTCATAAGGCTTCTCTCCAATATGGATTTTCTGATGAAGCAGCAGCTCAGAGTTATCCCAAAAGGTCCTTGCACATTCATTACACTGATGGGGTTTCTCTCCAGTATGAATTCTCTGATGGACAATAAGGTGAGAGGTCCGTCTGAAAGCCTTTCCACACTCAAAGCATTCATAAGGTTTCTCTCCCGTGTGAATTCTCTCATGTCTAAGAAGTTCCGAGTTGCCTCTGAAGGCCTTCCCACACTCCTTACATACATAGGGCTTCTCACCAGTATGAATTCTAAGATGTCTAATAATTTCTGAATTCTGACCAAAAGTTTTCCCACATTCATTGCATTCATAGGGTTTGTCCCCTGTATGAATTCTTTGATGCCGGATAAGTTCAGAACTCTGACCAAAGCCTTTCCCACATTCGTTACACAGATATGGTTTCTCTCCAGTATGAATTTTCTGGTGTCTAATAAGGCCTGAGCTATGCTTGAAGGCTTTGCCACACTCATTGCATTCATGGTATCTTTCTTCAGTATGGATTCTCTGATGCTGAATAAGCTGTGAGCTAACCCTAAAGGTTTTCCCACATTCATTACATTCATATGGTTTCTCTCCAGTGTGGATTCTCTGATGCAGAATAAGGGCTGAATTCTGACTGAAGGCTTTACCACATTCTTCACATTTATATGGTCTTTCTCCAGTATGAATTCTATGATGATGGATGAGGTGTGAACTCTGAATGAAGGCCTTTCCACATTCATTACAAGCAAAGGGTTTCTCTCCAGCATGAATTCTCAGGTGCCTCCGAAGGCTTGAGTTAGTTCCAAACGTCTTTCCACATTCTTTGCATTCAAAGGGTTTCTCTCCACTGTGAACTCTCATATGCTGGATAAGATGGGAGTTCTGATTAAAGGCTTTGCCACATTCTTTACATGTGTGAGGCTTTTCTCCCACAGAATTCCTCTGTGTTGTGTTAGGTTCTGAATTCTCTATGCAACTGTGACCAGAGGTAGCAAATATACTAACTGCCTCTACTGTGCTTTCTCCCTGATGTGTAACCAGATTTGGGCTGGGACTGCCGCCTCTCTCACTCTCATTGTACTCCTGGTCTTTTTCACTTGAGGGTGATTTCTTAAAGATAATCAGCTCTGGTGCAAAGTCTCTCTCCTGAGGAGATAGCGCCACAATTTCTTCTATAGACTCTCTCGAATGTCCCTCCAACATGTATTCTTCACATGCTGCTCCAAACTTATGACCCTGGTAAACCACCTTGGGAAGTTTTTCTAATATTGCCCCATGTGGTTCATATTCTTCAGAAACTTCTTCCTTGGGAATCACCTTGTTCTCAGTCCCCATCTCACAATCTGAAATGAAAGAAGGGAAGTATGTAAAGTGGCTACATTAAATTTAAATGAAGCTAGAGTGTGGAGCTTTGACATGGCTCTGACACCACTCAAAAATAGCCCAGACACCTGTGAAATAATAGGACACTACTGAAGAGAAAAGATTTAGGATTATCGTTCAGCACATGCTGAACAATAAGCAGACACTGACTAAAAAGGATGGGAGAAATGATGAGAGAAAGAGACTTAAGGAGAAAAACAGGAAATGGATGGTACAAGGAGATGCTGATAAAAGTTCCAAAATATTAACAATGAGTTAGGGCAGAACCTGAGGTTGGCAAGGAAAACATTTAGGGACAATGGTAGCCATAGTAATAGATGGAGATAGGGAAAAGACTGGCAGAAAGAGTAAAACTGGCCAAGTTACATTATACTGAGCAAAGTAAGTCAGTCCCAAAAGGACAAATAACGTATGCTTTCACTTATATTAAATAAGCAAGTATATGGGGGTAAGAGGGAAGGGGACCAGGGGAGTTTTTGCTTAGGTGGGCACTGAGTTTATGTTAATGGTAGTAGAATAATTTGGAAAAGGATAGAGAGATTGGTGGAAAAACCTGCAGAATGTAATCAATGCCACTGAATTGTACATGTAGAAATTATGGAATTGGTGTATGTTTTGCTGGGTATTTTTTATCACAATTAATAAAAAATACTTTACAAAAACCGTCAAGTTAATAGGACTGACTTTCAAGTTTACGGAGGAAATAACCACAAAATGCATAATGAGAACTACTCTTAGTCCATTCCTGTGGTACTGTCTCTACAGATCAGGGACAGTATATGTAGATGTTACTCATTCAAAAGGTTAGCGTGATTTAGCTGTAACTAGCACAAAAGTAACTACCCTTGGGTTTGGATGAAGGTTCTAGCTTTATTTTTCTCCATATGGTTGTTGTTGTTGTTGTTGTTATGTGCCATCAAGTCTGACCTGACTCATAGCGACCCCTCCTTGGGTTTCTGAGGCGGTATCACTATGGAAGTAGATTGCCCAACCTTCCTTCTGAGCCAGATGGTTAGTGGATTGTATTAATACAATGTGCTGAATAATCCTTGTCCCTACTGATTTGAAATGCCACCTGTACCACAGTCCATATATACGTGGTCAGCAGTGAACTCCACTCAGTTCTATTGATCTGTCTATTCCTTGTCTAATACCAAACTGCTCACTATACTGTAGCTTTATTAAAATTTTTAGTATCTGATAAAATTATCTCTCATTAGTCTTCTTTGTCCTCTTTCCTGTCTATCCTATTTTTCAAGTAAATTATAGTATAATTTTATAAAATTTCCAAAATTATCCTGGTATTTTTATATCTATTATGTATCCTTATGTCTTTTCAAGTAGTGGATTTTTCTTACCATTACTTTCTTACTGGTTATTATTTATAAATATAGCATTGCTGTTTATTTTTACATCCTAATTTTATAATCAGCCCCTTTATAGAATTTTCTTACTACTATAAAATCTACTTTTATAGATCTTAAAATCTATAACTTTTCTAAACTTCTGGAAGACTGTGGAAAAGATTTCTAGTTAACTATTCCAAATATCCACTTTCCCCCACCTCCTTAGCAACAGAATAATGAATGTCTTTAGTGTGGCAATGGCCTAGGTAACTTTTTTTTGCAACTATGTTTGGCCATGTGACCAAGTTCCAGCCAATGAGGCAGTGAGATGCAAATGAACACATGTGGGACTTCTGGAAAGGCACCTTAAGGGTCAGTGGATATACTTCCTCACTTTCTTCTTCCATTCTCATGCATGAGGCATGATGTGATGGCTGGCTCCATCTTGGACCTTGAGTGCACCAGTATACCCTAAGGCTGGGGATCAGAGCTGGAAGGAACATGGGTCCCTGATGACTCCATAGAGCATCCTGCCATACTAGCCCTGGAATTCCTGCCTCTGAATTTCTTTTATCTAAGAGAGAAATAAATTTTTTCTCTGCTTAAGCCATTTTGTTTTTCTATTATATGTAGTCAAACCTACTCCAAACTGATGGCCCCACAAATTTATTTGTCCCCATCACAGATGTGGGTTCCAGATGCTGGGAGAATAAGCCTGGCCTCTGTTCAGGTGGTAAACAATCTGGAGCTAAAACTGATGTGGCCCTTTACCTAGGGCAATGTATCTGCACTACAGTACACCTGAGAAATACAATCCTCTCATCAGGAAAAGTGTTAACTGTGGAAGATGACTCTGAAGGGGGAATGGGCAATCATGGGATTTCACCTTGTAGACAACAGAGTCAGGGAAGGGTTTTTAAGCCAAGGAGTGAAATGGTCCACATTCAGATGAGCGTTTCAGGTAGATACATACCAGTGGCCATTTAGTGACTAACCTAGAAAGCAGCAAGCTAAACTAGAAAGCAGGAAGATCAATTAGGAGGCTGACATAATCATCAAGGCAAGTAGTGATGAGATTTGATTAGGGCAATAGTGGGGATAAAGAAGGAGACACTGAGTAGGGAAATATTTACAAGGCCAAACTGAACAAGACTTGGTGACTTACTGGATAAAGGTGTAAAGAAGAGGAGGAGTCAAAGATGGTGCCAAATCTTCTTTTATTTGAGGGGTGGTAACTGCGAATGGAGTAACGATAGGCTCGAATATAGCAAGGATTGTGAGGATGACACATGATTGGGCAGTGTTTCATTTTGTTGTGCGAAGGATCAGTATGAGTCAGAGCCAACTCGACGGCACCTAACAACAACAACAACTACTGTGGATGGCAGTGCCACCAACTGAGATTTGGGAATACTGGGGGAGGAGCTACTTTAGGAGGGAAGATGATAGATGCACTGTTTTGGACAAGCTGAGTTTCAGTATATCCACAGAGGTATCAAGGAATCAGTCAAAACGTAGGCGTCTAAAGCTCACAGTAGTCAGGACCAGGGATACAGATTTCCCCTTCCAGATCTTCTCTCCACTTTTCTTCATTCTGTGCTCTGCTCCAGAAGACTAACCTGTATGGCATACATCAGCAAGCCCTCTGGTTTCCAGTGCATTCCACCAGTGTGGAGCCCCAGCAGATCAGAAGTAAGGAGGACAGTGAGGTGAGGGTATTTATTCTCCTACTTCCTTCTATGAGGTTGCCTTGGATTGGTGGCATCCCTGAAAAGTGAGTCATTACTCCCCTCAAGTAGTCTATCTTACCTAATCTTCTTGCTGTGTGGAGTCTAGTAACCTCTCCTATCTCTTGTCCCTTTAGGCCCAGAGGTGGTGACCATTCAACTGTTGTCAGCCCCACATTCCTCAATACCTTACATACATCTTTATAATTTATAATTAAGCCCTTTCTAAATAAATCCTCCTCAAATTATCTAACTTGAGTGAGCTATCAGTTTCCTATTGGGACTCTGACTGATAATAAGGGGGTGGGTGGAGGAAGAGAAGGCTGCCACAAAGAGAGAGTGATTAATGAAGTAGGAAAACCAGAATACAGTATTAATGAAGTCACTGGGTCAATGGCAGAGGGAATTACTAAGTGTCCAATGCAGTTAAGAGATACCATAAGGTAGCAATTGGAAAATGTCTACTGAGACAATTAGATGGTCACAAATGACCAGAGTGAAAACACATTGTATGGAATGGTAGAAGCAGAAGCCAGCTGGCTGTGGACAGGACAATTAATTTGCTGCATCTCTCAAAAAAATTGGATGAAAGGAGGGTACCAAGATGGACAGTAGAAAGAGTACACTACTAGGTCAAGGAAGGATATTCTCCAATAGAAGATGTGAGTGTGTTATATTAGAAGGGATGGTCTGAGCATTAAGACAGAGATTAAGAAGAGAAACAAAGATGAAATTACAGAAGAAATGAACACCCTGAAAGCCACAAGGGATTAGAGTCAAGTGGTGAGGAGAGGAGGAAGTGAGTTTGTGGGTGACCTTTATACTGCCTCTTTGCTCAGTCTCCAGATATCCACAGGGTATTGGTAAGCACCACCCTCCTACCCTATGGCCTCTCTAGTCACTAATCAGTAATGCTCTCCTGACATCTGAAAGGAACCGGATCTATTACTAAAAGCTCTTCGTGCTACCCTTCAAGATGGGTTAGGATCTTTAACTTTCCCCCTTAACCTCATGTCTAATTTTCCCATGGAGTAAGAGAAGATACCCCATTCAACTCAGCTAGCAACAGCAAATTAAAAACCCTGGATTTCTCCTTTTTATTGAAATTTTTGAAAATTATATCTAATATTTTTCCAAGGTAGAAAATTTGACTATTTTGTTTGTCTATGGAACCCAGCTGAGTTAGGAAGCACTATTTTAAATCAATTTCTCTCTAATGCCCAGCTCAGACCAAGTTTACTTACAACTTCCTCCAGCCTTTCCTTTTCACCCTCATCTCTCTATAGCTGCCTCCTATCCACCATCTAGCTCTTTACAAAGTCAGCCTTCACAGAACCTGTTTGCCCCATATACCTTATGGAAAATCACTTGTCTGCAGCAAAGCAAGATACAAGTTAGGTCTTTATTCCCCAACTTCAAAATCCAGTCCAAAACTCAAACACAGGCATACCTTGGAGATATTGCAAGTTCAGGTCCAGACCACAATAAAGCAAATATCACAATAAAGTGAGTCACATTAGTTTTTTGTTTTCCCATTGCATATAAAAGTTATGTTAACACTATACAGTAGTGTGTTAAGTATGCAATAGCATTATGAAAAAGTTTGAAATATTGTGAGAATGAGCAAAATGTGACAACAGAGGCATGAAGTGAGCACATGTTGTTGGAAAAATGGTGCCAACAGACTTGCTTGACACAGGGTTACCACAAACCTTCAATTTGCAAAAACCAATGCAGTATCTATAAAGCACAATAAAGCAAAACACAATAAAATGAAGTATGCCTGTAGAGAAAATCCTCTTCAACCAAGTCTAACCCCTTCTAACCAACCCTTTCCTTTGCATTTATTTGCCAGTGACACAATATTAATGTCATTTGT